CACTAGTGTATAACACCACAACGCTGGCATTTTTCCAAAATGAAACGCTATTATTCACTTTCTCAGTTAAGCTAGCTGTTTATGATCTGACAAATGGTCATCAAAATTTTGCTCACATTTTTAGTTTATAGATATTTTCACAAGCCCTTTTTCCAACCAGCTGTAGGTAATCCGGCAGTTTACCCGTGGTAAGTCCAGACCTACAGCTTGAAAATCAACTCACGTCTTCCCACACATTTTGTTGCTCTGCAATTTTGGCAAATTTACTGAATATCCCGGTTTGAAATCATTGTCTCCTTTGAGTTTCGAAATAAAGTGCATGCAGTGCTAATAAGCCCCAGGAAGTATAGCATAGTATAGCGGCAGTTCATGAACTGTGTTTCAAGCACTATACTGAGTGTGTGAGATTCTTTGTCGCATGCAAGTCAACCACACACTGTCTAATTGCTATCGATCAAACAAAAGGGGGGCAAATATGAACGGTAATTTTCTTGGCTTACTACAGTACAGGTTGCTGACTACTTGATGTCCCACCCAAGTTTTATCGACCTTACTTTATACTTGGACTCAAATGGTACGCAATTCGCTAAATACACGTAGACAAGCTATTGGATCTCTCTTTTTTGATGTCCTCCTTTAACTGAAAGTATTTTACAATTTTCCACGACCTGAGTTTAAGTAGAACACATGGATGACGGGAGCTGTGAAAATGTTGTGATATCGGATTGCCCCTGAAAGGTGGCGAGAATTATATACGTTTCTTGTCTGGTTCAGAAATGCATCATTTATCACCGTGCACCACACTAGGACACAAAAGATTACTTTTGACCCTCCTGTTTTCCGGTGTCCATCTTTTCAGCTCGCTTGCATTTGAATAAACCAAATACTGACTGTCAATCTGAATTCCTGAACATGTTTTATAGTTTGGTGCTTTGATGGGATCAAATGCCGTGTCACAAGCTATCTAGCTATCTCTGCTTCTGTGCAAAACCCCAAACGTCATCCCGAATCAACAGCTGATGGTAAAGTGGTCTTTTATTGCAATGCGGTGAGCAGTTATATATCCGACAGCTTTAGTCAGGTTAGTCTAGCTGGTTAGACTCTGTATGCCGTCTGGCTTAATCTGATCTAACAAGGCAGTTTAACTGCTTCGCAAACTGACTCCTAAGTGACCCACAAGTTGAACATCTTAGTGTTCTGCTTATCCATAAATGTTGTCAACCGATATTTGAGGAAACTAATTTTGCTTGGCTTACTCTAACAATATATGACTTCTCATTGGTTCTTCTATTTCCTAGGGTACACTGGACTGATTATTTTTAAGCAACATACTTACAGAACAACAAGAACCTGACTGAAATCCATAGGCGGACAGAAACAGTGGAACAGGATCGGGCTTTTTCTACCACCAATATTGCAGCAGCTACAAGTAAAACACTTGCATGTCGTTCAAGAATAAGCCTCATGTGGTCAGGGTCACTGATAGATCGGGTGACTCACTAGGTCAACCGCAGTGAAAGTTAGTGGCAAAGTCTGAATTTTTTCTAGTTATATTCCGCGCACGAAAATAAATGAAGGCTATCAAATGAAATAAAGCAGCAGACGTTTTAGCATTAGTCTCAGGTTTTTTAATCGCCTCGAAAACTTTACTGGTGTCTTCAGTCTCATTAGAAAGCGTCATACGATCGATCTGAACTGACAGTAAAGGGATTTCTGGAAGCTGTGATATTCCAAATTTAATATGGGACTCCCAACAATCTGTTGACGTACCCATAAGTTAGATTATCTCCCTAATTGTGGAAGAATTTCTCAAACAAGACACTTAATAAAGTATTCTTCCTCTCGAGTTTTAAAAATCCTTTTAGAATTAGGCAGGGAAATGTGGATGGCACCTTAATAAAAGAAATACTAGTGAAACTATCGTATTTCTAAATACCTGGAATATTTTCTGCATGAACATCTAGGTCGTCCTTGTTGTTTCCATGAGTGCTTAGCAAAGTGGAAACAGCTGTAACTAAAAAGGAATGGTATTATAGAAAAACATATTATCACTTGGCTTCTTGTCTCTCGTCTCACCTCACAGTATATATCGCCGATGCAGTCATCCCGGCTCCATAACCCATATGTGACTGATTCTCTCGTCTCTCTTGACTTCAAGTGAGGCAGGGGTTTAAAATCTGTCGCTTACTTGCCTGCAAATCAGATTTTTCTACCATTGTTCTGCGCCCATATTTGCTTTAAAGCTTCGGATTTGTGTATATAGTGACATTTGTCCAGACACAACCATATTTGGGAGCCTGGAGAGAAATCCTCCACAGCCCATTATCAGTTTTATTCTTCTTGGAGCTCACATGGCAGATGCAAAGCTTAAGTATTCATCAACCACATTGTTTACTCAAATACCTTTTTTTATGCTTTTATTTTTCACAGCACTTTGCAAATTAAAATAGGAGCATTGTGCTTAGTCAACCGCCCACTCATTATGTCCCTTCGTATGGTGACGAAAAGTTCGCAAGATAACTGTTAAGCTTGGCAAACAGATTTCCGGTTACCTGATCAACGAACAATAATTCAAATGGTGTTTACGAGAGCCGACTGAGTATCAACTGAAACCATCGCATATAATGATGCTTGCCAACCTTATGAGCAGTGCTGTATTGAGAAAAATATTTTGGCTTCCTGAATGTCATTTAAAGTGTGTAACAGCATTATTTGTAGATTCCCATGGTGGCATGTACCTAATTCATACTGTTGAAAGAGACTGAAATCTCCACAATTGCCGGCCCCATTCCTTACGCCCATTTTCTTAAATCCACGTGGCCAAATCATGTGCTATTGCTCAGTACCACACTGCTCTTCATTTCATTCCATTTGATCAACTTATAGATCCGGCAGTGTATTCTTTTTCATGTTTGTCTCTGCAGACGCGTGATCTAGACTGTGATGGTCGATTTCATGTTCAAAGAATTTGTCTTCTATCACTTGTCAAATATACAACCTAATTAAAGTCCTTCCGATCGTCGATTGAAGTATTCAAGTTTTGTCGGTATTTTATTATGGCTAACAAATTGTTTCAGTGGGAACGACGTTGGATGATTTTTTGGTCATCGAAACCCGGGGCCAAATTATGAGGATGCACGTGTTGTCCATAACCATAGTGTCCTTCTACATATCCGGATACAAAAAGATCGTGCTGTTTTGGCTCAGTGTTGCTAGCAGTTGATTCTTGTATGCTTTTTAACCTAAGACGGATAAGAATGACAGCGGCGAGTAGTTTCTTATCTGGTTTTTTTCAAACCTTGTTGTTAGATATATTTCAATATCTTTTATTAAGTAATATGGACTTAGTCAAAAAACCCTGAAGCAACCACTTCTGCGGACGGCCGATTTGAGTGGTTCCCCTCCGGTTTGTTCAAAACGTAGTCTGGCTAATAAAAACTATAAACTCCCTTTATTCAGCTTGATGACCTCCAACGCCAAACTGTCACTATTTTCCAGTGGTGTAGAAACCTACAGCAGCCAGGGATCGGTCAAAAATATTTGTAGCTATTCTTCGTCCAGCATTACCCAACTGAAAATATCTGCTGACGTGGACTGACCTTTAGCATCGGCAAACTTTGTGTTGAGATGGTTATTTAGCAGCTTCGTAGCAGTGCGGAAAAGCAACTTTTGCAGAGAAGCGCGACGTCAGCTCCACAAAATATTTCCCACACGAAATGAAAACTTCTTGAATAGGGGAATAGCGGTTACAACTCCAACATTAATTCTGGGTTAATAGTGGCTTTCATGCAAATGACTGCTGTGGGCAGTCACGTCGCAGCTTGGCGTGTATGCTGCTAGATTACATTGCAGATACCAAATTGCTGGTCCATTGTGTGAACACCCGTCTCTCCAAAATGTCCTGTTTGAGGCTTATAATATAGTTCATTCTTGGCTCCTATTTAATTTTTAAACTAGTGCTGCTTTGAGTAAGCTGACACAAGACTACTTAGAAGGTTAATGAATTCTCTTTCACAATCTACGTCTGGTGCCGCCCTTCTTTGAACTCATTACCTAGGTCTAGTCCCAATCAGTCTCATTTTCAACATGGACGCCAAATTCTACGTTAGTGAGCACTCATTAGCAGACGAACTTGGTGTTGACCAAGACTCAGCCACATATCAGCTAAACTTCAAGTACAGAAATATTTTGGATAAATGTTCTGCACCAGAGCCAACTTCTTTAAAAACAGCAATTAACATCACGTATTTTTCTTGATATAACAGTATAAACACCCTTCCAATTACAACAACTAGACTAAGGATTTTTATCAACCCTTTGAATATGCCTCACGAAGAAAAAAGTTGTCAATATCCTTAGCTCCCATGCAACTGACAATTGGGTGGTCTTTGTACAACCTATTTAATAGTAACTCATTGTAAACAAAAGACTCAACTTTTGATGTATCTGTCCTCAACACAAAATTAGACTGCAAAAAAGTGTATAAATCATATAGTATGCTGAATTCTTCTGAAAAATTGCTTACATCCATTAGCCTTCGTGTTGCCTGGATATGTTAACTCAGCCTTAAGAGATTTTCTGCGACAGATACTTATCACTGCATGGCATTTTCCACCTCTGACCAACCCTAATTTCAAAACGAATCACTAAAACTGAATGTCATCTATACTAGGAGATTTTGTAAATGTGAACTGGTCGAGGAGGAACACCAACTTTATTTTCAGCACTTAAATCAAAACGAAGTGAACACAATGCAGCCCCTTTCAGACAGTCGGTTTTTCGCCAAATTCATTTGCGTGCTCACCATAAAGCTTTATATTTGAACAAAATCCTTAAAATAGTTCAAAATATCTTTTCGTCATTTTGCCTACGGGGATTTTCACATAGCCCACCGTGCGTAACGAAGACATGTCACACGAGAAGGTTTATTGGAGCGAACACATAGCACAAACAGATACAGCAGATAAAACAGTACTTCCGTATGCTGCATAACGACTTACATCTCCGGTACTGCAAAGCCAACCTCCATTGATTCCAAGTCAAACACGGTGTCAAATTTTGAAATAAACGCTAGTCCGAGTATAATAGATTGGGATTCAATTGGGAGTACAGTTGAAAATATGCTTACGCAGCACTCCATCCCATTTTGAATAAACTACAATGAAATGGCATTTAATATGAAAACTAGTTTGATTCAAAACACTTTTGATTGGAGTTCATGTCCGCAAAATTGATGACTCAAGGTGCGTCCGTATTTACCTTAGCCAAATACTGATCATGCTTGAGAACAAACGGCTTGACTCCCAAAACAAATGTGATTTCAGGCCAACCTTCGTCTCTTTCACAATCCATAGTTGAAAAAGCATCGATGGTGCCCGTTTGGCCGAGTAACCCGTTGATATCTTTTGCAAGCTTCATAGGAAGCACCACTGATTTATACGCAGTATCTATCACCGCCGACCAATTTTCCAGATTTATTCTTTGTTTGCCGACCAGTATCCTGTGTGACAGAGGAGTAATTCGTTATATATCAAATGAATGAATGCATCTCTGAAATTGTAGGTCAAACTCAAAATAACTCACACACTGAGCTCAAGTCTCCAGGACATTGAGCTAATTGACGGTACATAAGCCAACTTTCCACGTGCCCGTCTCACGACGTGATCACCGAAAACAAATTGACCAACTGCCCCGTATTTACTAACGGATAAAAGTTGTCAGTAGGATAGTTAGACTGGTTTTCTCGACGTGATTGAATCAGATATTTCGTGCGGAGAGGAATTACAGGTATATATACATACAGAATTTAGTATTATAGAAAAGGAAAATAAGTACAAATAATGCTAGCGGTGAGACAGACAACTCTTTCCTTCACTAAAGGATGCCAAAACTAGCTGACCTTATGGTGACTGATGTGACAAAAATCACCTGTTTCAGAGACGGATTAGC